TGTAAGCTACTTAGCTGTTTTACATCTTTGTAATCGTGTTGGTTAGCATGACTCATTTGTGTTCCCACAAAATTATTTTTGAGAAACGCGTCAGGAAATTCCAGTTATTAGGGAAATCTGCCATTATTTTATCACTTACTGTCAAAAAAATAGTAACTTGAACGCAAAATCGGACTTGTATTTAAAGACAAAAAACTTTAAGTTGGTTTTTTGAACTTCCTTTGAAATGAGGCACGGTGAAATGGGTCACAAAGCACTACGTGATGTAGAAGGGGTGCAAATATTTTGTTTTTGGTTAGTTTTGACAGGAAGCAAAGTCCGGCTACATAACTGCGCAAAAATAGCGTCCACAAATTATGTGCACCTTGCCAATGAAGTGAGGCAATAAGGCTGAGTTGCCATTTCGCTTATTTATGACGCAAAGTTTGACTGTCCCTAACCAAGAACCGATAAAATTTGTTCCTAAAATCAGCGAAAAATTTAGTATAACTTTAAAATTCTATTGGAGGGGCCACTTATGGTTTCTATCAATGTACCTTGCCGGGCGGCCTGGCACCCAGCCCATGCCAGTATCTCCAATCCCTTCCACACATCGACGATGCGTATTCTGTCCTAGTATTTTGTCTTCCACTGTTATGGAAGTTCAGAGGAAAGCAAACCCGTTTTTAAAGGACGATTATCCCAAATTCCACTGCTAGGTAATAAACCTTATAGAAATGGAGGAAATGTATAGGTTCCGGGTGGGAGAATATGCCGCAACCCCTAATAGAAGGGCTGAAAATGACCCTGCCTTCAGTAACTACTCCAGTCCCGTAGCCTGTAGGAAAGCTACTGACAACTGAAGCGACATTAGCCTTTAATCATCTGGAAAAGTTAGTTATGGAGTTGTCTACTGTACATGTATGAAGATACCAGTTATGTGAACACGTGATACCTCCTCACTTTTCTACCAGTTCTATGGAATCCACACAGATATGGCTGGGTAACACTAAGGTGGGAAAAAATGCCAAGAGGGATAGGCGCGTAGTCCTACCCCTACGGAACTGAAAAATCCTGTCATTTACTAAATAATTCTGCTTTTAGGCAAGTGTTGCTACCACTAGCACTGACATGCGTGAGGGAAATCACATTCTTCCATCCTCCAGTAGAGTTCCTAAACAGGCGAAAACGCCAGATCCATCACAATTGCCAAATGCCTGAAAATTTGGCGAATGGCGCGGTTGGCTCGTGGTGGCTTACACGGGAGGTTGACCAATGGAGGCGCCGCTCAAAAGAGGCGAGGGGCTATGTAGCACGCTGTTTGCTAAACCCTAGTTTTGTGAATAAGCCTCTTGGGGCCTGACCTTGTACCTTTGCTAAGCGGCTTGACCTTAGGGTCATACTGATAGCACTCAAGATTTTCTCAAGGTCAAAAGTACTTATTCTGCACGAAAATTTTGCCTTTTTTCGTTGTCAGGAGAGTCTCGGGGCCCTATAGATGTTTTATCTTTTTAAAAATAGTCATTTACAGCAAGCTACTTTTAGAACCGATCAGGTGGTGACTAGATTTAGCAGTAATCACTTGAGAAACCAAAAAGACTCATCTGTCAAATTGGGGATCATAATTATCTGGCGCTAATTTATAGAAACATTTGTGCGCAGCCCACGCTTTTTATTCTATAAAACTCCTAAAATATTTCAGGACTTTTGCACAAAAATTCTCCTAATTCTACACATTTGGATGTCTATTGAATTCCCCCTACGCATGATTCAAACAAGTGGCGGTCAATCCAAAAAAGCCGGGGTTTTTGTTTAATGAACAAACTTGGCGCCTAGAAACACCTTTTATGACATTAAAACGCGCTAGCAATGCTAGCTGGAGGTCCAAAAATGTGGCCATTATTGTGATCTCTTTTTACAGATTAATTCGTGCTTAAAATGGGTGGTCCAGATGCCGCGCTCCAACTGCCATGCATCCGACAGATGCTGTGCTCTGATTAATCAGTTTTGCAGTGGGTTAACTTCAAGGCTGCGAAGTGTCAAGGATTGGAACCAGATGCTGATGTGGTTTCTTGAGGTCTCGCCGCCGCCCAGCTGTCCTTCTTGGGTATTCTCAGCTGCCTGCCGTAGAGCAATAATTTCAAGAAGTTCTTTTACAGTTCTCACCCCGAAAACCGGCAATGATGTGAGGAGGGTGGCCTTAACAGACTAGAACTTTTGAGGCAATAAAGTGAGTTAACATTATTCAAAGCGTGGAAATTGCGGTCGCCCACTCCCACATCCTCCTCCTTATAATTTTATCTGAAGGGCGGCCTGGCTGCGGAGAATTGCAATTACTCCGGGTTGCGTCACATGTACTGATAAAATTTAGGAAATCAAAAATGTCCCTTTGACCCAGTGCAGTAATCAAAGCCTTTGTGTTTGTCAAAGATGGTAAAATTGTCCTGCTACCCAATTAGAGCAGTCTCTTCAAAATTGCTCAATTGCTTAATTAATCGTGACCGTTGTTTCAACAGAACTGGATTCGCCTCTCGGTAAGTCCATCGTCTGATAGATTGCACAGGTATTGGGTGTCTGAGATCATGTATTTCACGCTTTGGCCGAATGTTCACAGGACTAACGCTGTGATGGTGGGCTTGGTGCCACCACAGCCGGGTGCGTTAGTAACGGAAAAGTGGGTGCCTCTACAGGATTTTGGCGTATCGTGCCTAAATATTTATGTGGATGCAAGTATCTTCGTGTTTTGTACGTCCTTACTCGTTCTCAGGAAATCTCACCCTTACATGCTACTCAACTTATTCACCGCCGCAGTTGCATGACGGCTAGACGAATGGAGTTAAATGCACTGCTGACTCGCAGTGTATGCGCCACCGCCATTTGACATCCCTGAGGTTTGTGGTGCCTAGGCAACATGTATTTTTACCCCAAGGCTGCAAATTTTCCAATGGATTTGATCACCCTGGAGTGTAACCTAATGTATTTAAAAAGCCTGACGTTTTATTCAGTTGAGAGGCTGAATAATAGACGATAGTTATAGATTGACAGTCAAATGATCCACTTGAAGGGATCAGTATGCTTTCAGTGAAAGCGATTCAGAAAAAAGAGTTCCCAAAAGATCTTGGCATTCCAAAGTAAAGTGCGCCTTTAGCTCAGTACGGGATTCAACTCCTCTCTATCAGTGCCTCCGTGACCGATGCCTGCCAAGTTCTCAAAATTTCAAATCTTCCTAAGTGAGTGTAATCACTCACTCCAATCGAGATAGATTTTCGTAGAGAGAACTATGATCGTCAGCCGTAGAGGCATCTCTGAAAAGCTTACAAGTTTCAATGCCCTAATGGCAGAAAATGAGCATTCAATTAGTCCACTGTGCTTGTAGTCAATTATAGATACACATATTTGAAGGTTTTATTCTTTCGGTCTGGCTCACGTGAATCCTTATCACTGCACACCATTCCACACAGGGACCCCCTACTGTCCTCTGCCATCTAGCGTAGCGGTGTCCGGAACTGATCTTTTGCTTGTATGCACTACTGAGGCATCGTCAGTCGAACATCCTTTACCAAGTTCGTAAATTCAAAATTCCAGTCTTAATTTGATCATCGTTTTAGTCACTTATTAATACGAAATTTTCCGGGAACAATTCCAACTACTCAATCATATGACCAGATATTATTTTGCTCCTTCCGTGTCTATTCGCCATGCACTCTTCGTGCGTCCAAAACTTGAGAGGGAATCATTCCACCCTAGCTGCATAGGTTACCAACCTTAATGATCATAAGCTTTCTAGATGTTCCCCTAAATGACCCCTTTTCTCATAAGCTTATTAAATTCAAGAATAATGGGATTAATTTCAAAGCTCTAAATTGCGGTAAAGGTTGGTTTTCCACATTTTAGCAGAGCTTCAACCCTCCCTGCAAACAGAGGTAAGTAATCGGAAGCTCTCATGAGCACGATGGGCTCAACCCCCCCCCCCCTATTCAATGTTCAAGTTTATTCATCTATGCAGCAATGTGGTGAAAATAATCGGCAAATATGTCCACCTTGATTTCTGTTGCCACCACTAAAATGGTGCATTTCCAATTTTAAGGCAGATTTATAGTTTACCATCATCAGGCACAGTGTTTAATTTAACTTTATTGCAGAATGGTAATGCTAAAAGGGAAGTTGCGTGAGAGCATTTACTAAGGGCAAATTTTTTATTGGATAAGGTGGCGGTCAGACGCCGGTGCTCGAAAGGGCATGAAAATCGCTCGTGTAGCATCCACCCAAATGCCACGCAATTCAGATCTAATTGGTAATACAAATAATCCTGCGATATTTTCAAAAAAGACTCATCCTTGGAGGTGAAGTTCAGTTTTGTGGACACAAATCTTATTACTGATTCGATTGATTAGTGTTTATGACTGCAATTTTGAATTAGTGTTACGTGAAAGTGAACCTTTTCTAATTACTTTTCTCTTCTTGGTCCCAAAATATATTCAGCTTATAGTATTGCATGTGGCTTAACTACTGTATCGACTACAAATTATCAGACTCCTTATTCAGCAAAGGAAAGTTATTACTCCGGAAACATTGGGAAACTTTCACTAAAAATTGTCTAAACTTCGTGTTCTAATCAGGCAATGAGAGTAATTTACAGTTAATCGCATGTCCTGATTAAAAACTATTGTAATAATGCTATTAAAATTGGAAATTTATGATTTAACTTAATGAATTTTTAAAATATTATGGTCATAAGCTTTCAAGTCATTGCTTTCGAGAATCAGATTATTATGACCTACAAATGCTTTGTAAAATTAAATCTGTGGCTATAATAGGTCTGAAAAGATGCTT